CCGATACCTTATTGTAGTGAGTTGACTTGAGGTTATCAAAATTTAACAAAAGATACTACATGTGAGCTTAATATATACAAACTTCTTCTTGTGTTGCAAATATCCTGGTCTTCGGTGGAGTAATTATTTTGGCAGACGCATCACTGTTTATTAAAGCAGTATGATTATCATCTACACTGTCACTACTTTCTTCCTCTTTAATTCGTTCGCTACTAGGGACACTGTCCTTTTCATCCTCATCATCGTAATCCTCATCATCATCGTCATCGTCATCCTCGTCATCATCCTCGTCATCATCCTCGTCATCATCTTCATCCTCATCCTCATCCTCATCCTCATCCTCGTCATTTTCATCCTCATCCTTACTTTCATCTTCACTATCGTTATCAGCAAGACCTCTTTTCCTTTTTTGCGATGTATTTCCTAAACTCTCTTTTATAGCACTTTGGCTGTTTTGAAAGAAATCAATCTCTTGTAATAAATGAATTTGTTTGTCTATTTCATCATCATTGTGTGAATTGCTTTTTGATTCCGTCTCTGCTGTAGCCTTTCAAAAAACGTCGAGTGTGTTAGAAACTTGATGTCATTTGATGCAATTCATCAATCGATCTGTTATGCTTACTCGGAATAAAGAGATATCTGCATTAAACCGTTTTTTATTGAACTTGGTTCCAGTCTTCAACACGCGAAATAAATCCATAATTGGTACTAGAAAATGTCAGACAACTGGCTAAATCCATATCTGTATTAAAAAAATTCTTGCATCGTGTCACCTGACTGTTGAGCCGACTGACTTTACCTGCCATTATATTCCTTAAAAAACTTCGTGGTAAGTTAATCCTATTACTATGGTATTTTTTTACTTTCCTTTCTTCTCTCTTCGGATAGGGCTTCATCTGGGCTACTTGACTAATTTCATCTTTATATTTAATCAGATAAAAAACTACAAAATCTCGTATATTTTACGCATTCACCAGCCTTCGCTGTGCATTACAATGTCGTGCCTTATAAACCCTGTTTATTCCTCCATAAAACGGCGCCGTCAGAGTTTTCGGGGCAATCCCTAAATCACGAAAGATGGTATTAGTATACACATATCAGGTGTCTGTGTACAAATATCAAACCATCTCGTACAATTCCACTCAGTCTCAGTTCGGGTATTGCCACCTTGCAATTTCAACTACACTCGACGCTACTAATAAGAAGGAAACTATTTAATTTTATTTCTTTATTTTCCGTGTAGTAATAGATGAAAATTACATCATTGGTGATCTGTAGGACGTTGACGTTTACAGTTAGTCTATACAATATTTTATACAAAAGGTTCGTTGGATTTTGGCAACAATGTGCAATTATGTTATTTTTATCTTTATACGCATTTCTTTGAATAAGCATTTTTGCTATTACTATGCTAATCTGATAATAGGAAGCATATCACGAGTTGAAAGATGCAAAAAAGCATTGTTGTTAAATATGCATAAAATTACTTGATTAACAGTGACAAATGCAATATATTTGTATAAATGTGATCATGTGATCATGAGATCATTTAGATTACATGGGGCGTGCTGCAACAAAACCAGACAAAGTGAACATTGACGCCATAGTTTATCGTTATCGTTATAACGTGTGTATTAAGCTCGCTCAGTCAGGCGGGACCGTATGGCAACAGTCGGTTACCATACGGTATAACTAAAAATGGCCATAGGAATCTCCCTTGCCGTATCCAATGCGGTAGAGGCTTTAGTTCATAAAACCATCCTCTCTCGTACGGGAAATGACCTACAATGACTTAGAGATATGCGTTAAGTTCGGTACCTAGTGATAGCGGAGTTGCTGCACAAAGGTGAGTACCTGGATTCACAGCGACCCTTAGCGACCTGATACTATCATAGTAATAGGTTTGGTGTTTTACTATTATAGCTGTAAGGTTTCAGAACCGCTCACCAAACACCCGATCAAAGATAGAACAATGGAGCTAGTGGGGAGAAAATCGCGCAATCGCGAAGTCGCCACGACAGATCAAAGCCAATGATAAAGCCTAACATAAAAATACCCCACTTCTTACCGTTACAGGGCGATACCACCCTTTCTCTTCTCGGGTTCGCTATATTTACTCTACATTGAACCTTCACGATGTTCAGAACATATTTGCTCATGTTAGACTCAAAAAGCCCCGATTGCTGCGAGATCTAATGATGACAATCACCCAAAGAAATCAACCGTTACTCCAAACTGCAGCGGAACCAGATCCGGGCATACTATCATTGATGGATGGTTATCGTTATGGCTTTTGTCAAACTCAGTTTTCCCTTTCTTATTCGCCCATGGGTCATAGCGCATAAAATAAATGTCCGCTCTCTATCATCATTGCGTGTTAATGACAAAAATATTCTTGTTGATCTTTAACGTTAACGTTAAGATGCCCGGGAGAATTCGATCATGGTGCAAAAGTGAACAATTACTCCCAAATTTTTTTACACAGTTCAATTCCCATAGTCATTTCTAATATTGGTAATTTTCCAAATTTTCAAGTAGTTTGTTTAGAAGTGAATCTTGGGCCAGCACCAAGGAGTCCGGCCGAAGCTCTAGGCCGGCGCTGTGATTGTGCCTCACAGGCCGTGGGCCTGATCTGTACACACCCGCTGATCCGCTGATCCGCTGATCCGCTGATCCGCAATCATTAGCTTTTGGATCATTATCAAACCACACCTACCTTTTTTCCCCGAATTACGACATTATTCTTTTAATCAGTGAATTTAAATCAAAGAAAATCTTACTAGGCTCTTTTCGCGTGCGATCACTGTGTGAAAACTGTCCAACGGATCAATATTTCCGAGCTTCACGATATAAATACATAATCGAGTATTTATCCGCCGCCTCCATCCGCCGCTTTCACCGCGTTATCCCGCTTTTCCCGATGAAATCCGGATTATTATCACGGTTATTTAGGTTATTATTTGGGTACGCTGATAATTTCCAATTTAAGTCAAAGACAACCAATGATAAGCATGTGCTCATAAAAAAATCCGAATGTGATATCTAAATGTGATATGTTCGTCTTGCCCATATATTGTGCTGCTAACAAGGTAGAGCTTGGTGTTGTATTATAAACAGTCAAAATCACTTGGCGAAGACGTTATGTCATTCTTACCTTTAAGTAATCTGAAAATTTCTTCTTTTACATACGGCATATCAGTTATCACATAGCCGGATTTTTTAAGGTTATTCAAATTATTCTGTACTACATGCAGATCACGGTAAAAGCGGCGGATAAATACTCGATTATTAAAAAAATACCTAGCTGCTGATGGAATGACGCAAAGCTATTGCATGTGAATCGTAGCAAGAAACCAATATAAGACGTTTTCCTGCATGCGAGGGAAGTTTGCAACCCTCTTCTACTCACAAGGGTCACGTGCTTACTCATGGCTGGTCGTCGGCAGGAAAAAAACAAAGCGACTGCGCTACCTCTGCCTCCTCCACAGAATGCCCCCGAGAGACCTGAAAACTCCGAGCAACAAATTACAGCATTTTTGGCCATTCAACTAAACAATGTCAAGCTGTGGGTGCATCTTGAAGGCCAAGCGAGTGCCGATAAAGTGGGAGTTGCAAACGCCGAGGATCTAGCTGACCTTAGACCAATACTCCAGAGCAAGTTTCGATCCCTGCGTTCCGTTGAGCAAGGCGACATACAATTCTTCGTAAGAAAGTCGCATACGAATCCCCTTCCCCCTGACACCACTATTGAAGAAATCCAAGCGAATAACACCGCCAAAGTGCCGCTTATCGTGCGGTACCCACTTTCAAACGACACCGGTACGATTCTTTTCCCAACGTCCATTGTTGCGCCTGTTATGCTCAACAGTCTCTGTCGTTTTGTAGTCGATATAGAGGTTACGCACATCAAGAGTCATATCAAAATCTCTCTGGCTCATTCCACCGGTACCTGGTACCTCCTACGAGCTAAAGCTAAAGAAAAGCTGGAGAAATTGCATGGGGCCGAATTCTACTTTATGGACAAGAATCAAAAAGATCGTATTGTCGACGATGAATTCGAGTTCAATGCCCTGGTAGCGAGGACCGCACCAAATGACGATGGCGAACGCTTAATTCAGCTTAAAGCCCAACTTAAAGGTTTTTTTTAATTAGAAAATTGCGGCACGGAAACAAATATTTACATGCTCTTCTACACCTTTTAACAGGAAAGAGACCGTACGGTGATTGGACTTCTAAAGATCTATTAACTGAGATCTTGAATATGCCGCTTGGTTCTATTGAAGGATTACCCTGCTTTGATATTGGTAACTTTTTTTTTTGATCAGCTTTATCATTGTAGTTTCGTAATCAAGCTTAAATTTTTACAGAAAGCATTCCCGACGGAGAACCTTTGTCCGATGAAGACACAAACCTCTTTTTAGGCACACTCGAGAAGATTGCGGTTTCTCTTCACAATCATGTCAGCACTAATGAGGCCACAGCACGTTGTTACATCCACCCCTTCATGCATACAGCCGTGGCTCACGTCCGGTCCTCACATCCGACGATGCGGTTGAGTTTGGAAGAAGATTTCGATGGAAGCCGTGGATACGGGCGTTTGGATTACGTGGTCCACTGCCATGATATCGCTGTCCTGGTAACGGAAGCAAAAATGGAATCGATGGGCAAGGGGGTAGTTCAAAATATTATACAATTACACACCGCAGCAGAGGTACCCAAGAACACACTTTCCGTTATTGCTTGCTATCGTCCATTCTACTAACAGTCTACGACTTTCTCCATTATTTCGCAGAAATTATTGGGAAAGCGCAAGCGCAGAGACCTTAACAATGAACTTCCCAGCATATACGGAATCGTAACAACTGGGGAAAAATGGAAGTTCATCCACTGGTCCGGTCCCCCGACAACCCCAAGTGTGAAGGTATCAAAATCGTACGTCTGTGGTTTCGACGAAGAGGACGAAGAAGCAAATGAGGCAACAAAAAAGGCAACAACAAAGGTGCTTTCTCTCATCAGTCGTCTTCTTCATTCCCAAGGCGATTTCATGGAATCGCATATGGACCTTTTTCAAGTTGGCGAGAATGAGGTGGCCGGTGATGATGATGATAATGAGAGGGATAGTCAGCGCGCGCGTATTGAATGAATCTGACAATTGTTCAAGTCGGGTTGTATTGCGAACATGATTTTACTCTGCATTGTTGCTTGTTCTTGTCGACATGCATCTATGAATACTGAATAAAAGTAGTAGCTAATATGAGGGCGTGTTTGTCACCTTGTATGGTTGTTACAAAATTTCACGGTGTACGGTGCAGTATTTAAATTACGACCAGCCCACATGTATTCCCAATTTTGTCGGACAAGAAATGTTTATTCCGCAAAATTTTTGGTGACCTGTCGAAGGACAGGCCGGCAATCGGCGTACTTCTGTTCAAACGTTATCAAACGGAAAATTAGACACACAGCAAAGGAACGTCTTTTTTACCCTCTTCATCCGCTAAACGTCTTCCGCTACATGACCATTGCAATTGCCCCCGAAGAAAAGTGTGCTATGACAATCAAATCTTTTAATCAAACAGAGCGCACACCAAGAACCGTGTCATGCTATATTGGTGTATAATTATCCCTATAATAATACCAATACTTAAAGTTATATAGTTAACTTGCAACCTATTCCAATTTTCCTTTTTTTCTTGGCTCTTGAAGGGATTCGGCCAACGTCCGTTTAAGAACTTTTTCTGGTCTTTCCTCTTGGTAAATCTCATAAGTGATTCCTTCCTTGTCTAAATATTGTTTAATTGTCTTGCTGTCAGATATTTTGAAAATATAAGGAGCAATTTTTTCGCCTTGTTCTTGCTTTAAAAGAGAGCGTAAAGCGCTGTAGTTTTTGGGCTCCATAGTGGATCTAATATAGATGAGTTTCATATATTTCAATTTTATATACACGGCTACTCCTATGTATAATAAATACAAAATCAAACAAAATGTGCGTAATATATATATAAAATATATATATGGTAGACAACATAATTATGAACGAATACGAAAAAGCTCTTCATTTCCTGGAAGTAGGATGTGGTTGCGGTTGCTCGGCCAAGTTACCCAAGGAAGAATTTGCCGAACTGCGGGAAGATTTCCAAGCGCTTATCAAACCTGAACAAGACATTTTCTTAATGGCCCAACTCAAATCCATGGATGGAGGAGCGATCAGTACTAGTCGACGTCTCAAGGACAAAAATCGAGTCAATAAGAGAACTGTCTACTGTTGAAATCGCAATACGCCTCTTTGTCAGAAAACGTATCTTAATATGTTAGGAATTGGTCGCACGCACTTCGAAAACGTTAGAAATCACTTGGCGACGAATGGTATAATATTACGCATTCACGGTAACATCAAACGAATGCCACGATGGAAAACCAAGATAACCATTGATATAAATGTTGCTACTGCTGTGAAAAATTTTCTCGAAAACTATGCTGAAATTCATGGATTACCAAGTCCTGGTAGAAATGTTAATCGAATTACGCAATCGCTTACACTTTTACCAGCCGAAACGAGTTATAAATCGGTCTATCGCAATTTTATTGCTGGTCTCGAAAATGATAGCACACTGAAATTGTTAAAATATGATGCGTTTCGCAAGTTATGACACCAATTAACACCCTATATTCAAATCATGAGTCCAAGAACGGATTTATGTGACACGTGCCA